AAATACCGACATTTCACCTCTAGCAGTATGCCAGATGTTCCTCACGTGAACTTAGTTTACTTACTTCCTTTCTATCCCTTAGCAATGTTCAGAAGAAAATTCACTGAGAAAAGGACAGCTTCCTTTTCCGTTTGTTGTGTGCTACGATGGTTGCCCTGTGTCCGCATCTCACAGAGAAGAGAACTACACCCATCGTGAAAAAAGGCCAAGATATTTTCGTGAGCTTGATTCGGAACAGTCCTTTAATCATTCCAGAGAAGACCATGGCACGGCGGAGTGTATTTATGAACCTCCATCGAGAAAATATCTAAAACTGAATGATGATGGCGATTATGTAAGGAGAGGTGAGCCTTATTTAGATAAAACTGACCCCCTTCCGCTTAGTTCAGTTGTAAGTGTTTTGGTCTGATGAGCGGAAGGTAGTTGCAACCCTACAGACCATCAAGAAGCTTAAGATCTGCCTCTCAGAGGCTCCTGACAATAACATCAGCAAAGTTGAAGAAATATGGCTGTATATCATTCTCATTTGCAGCACCTACAATTTGGAACTCACTGCCACAACCCATACGTGATCATGATGACATTTCAAAATTTAAAACTTCAATAAAGTCTTTCTTATTCAAAGAACATTTTAATTAAAGTTCTGTCACAATAATGTATATAGTGTAAATATTGCGATAAGAATTTTAATTTTTAACTTGTATTTTTATATATTTGTGTTTTATTGTTGATGTAAATTTTTTTAATGTGCAAAATTTTCGGTTTGAAATGTTCAGTTGTAAAGCGCCATGAGCCTACGGATATGGCGCCATAGAAATCCTTATTATTATTATAAGTAGTCTCCGGGTTCAGACCCCGGGCAAAGCGCAAGCAAGGGTCTTTAAAAAACTAGCGAGAGCATGCGTGCTTTGATTTAAGAAAGAAATATGGGGCGCGTGAAAAGTGACGCGAGAGAGAAGAACACACGCGCGAAGAGAGAAGTATTTATACAAGTCTGCCGTCCGGAAGCTGGACATTTGTGCTGGACAAGTGATAATTTTTGATAGGGGGCACGATATTTGGAGGTTTCTCGGATAAGTGCTACTTCTCTTCCTTCGTGTGCCCTCCTCCCTCGCATTCAGCGCCGCCCTTCTTATTTGCGCCCCAATTTCCTCGTGCGCCTACAATGTAGCTGTACGTACGTACAATCTGCCGAGCTGATAGACAGCGAGTAGGTCAGGGATGTTCCTAGAGCGGGGAGAGGGAAAATAAAAAATGGGAACAAAACCTAACTTGAACCCTAGCCGTATCAGTAACTTCATTTCTGATTCTCCGCTTTGTCCTTATTTTTTTCATTTTTCTGTTCCCAGTGCCTGTTCCCCACTTCCAGCCGCTCCCTGTTCCCCATTCCCCGTTCCTCGTTCCAAATGATAGCAACGTGCAGTAGGTCAGCCAATCAGAAAGCGGGATTTGCAAAAGAAAGTTAGCAGAATTTCACTAAATTATACGATGTAAATTGCCCTTTTTAATTTCTTTAGATGATGAGAGATATCACAGCCGTGAATCTAACGCTATGCAAACAGATCTTAAATTACTAAAGAGGAAAAATAGAAACAAAAGAAGGCGTAAAAAGAAGGAAGCAAAGGGAAGTAATGAGGTATGTGTCTTGATAACACATTGTTGTTTTTTCTATTAATAACTTTTTAAAAATCCCTTCTTCTTTTTATTGCGATATCTAACATTTTAGTCAACCATAACAATTTTCTCCAGTGGAGTAAGAAAGAAGTGAAATTTTGCTCAGTTATACTGGTTAGCGGCAAACGATCTATCACAACGGCGTGTCAGGTTTTCAGACATTCTATGCCCTAAGTTGTGACTTACTGTAAATAGCAAACCGATAGCTGATTTCAGGTGAACCGTCCCAAAACGGTCATTTTGAGTACAGAGGAAAGTGCCCGCTGTTGAGAAGTTCAAACAAGAGTTAATGTATCCGCTGGGGTAAACAATAGTGGTCATACGCTTGCCTAGTCTCTGGGCCTCATTATACCGCGCGGACTTTGCGTTTCGGGTCACGTGGTCCGTTCGTCTCGGTTACGTCACCGAAAGGCATTGACCGAGAAGGCCTGGGAAGACGCCCTACAGAGACTAGGCAAGGCCGTTCGGGAGATAGCAAGGAATTGACGGACGCAAGAAAGAACGGGCCACGCGCTTCGGGAAAGGTAGCCGTTAATTAAGATTCGACTGTAATTAAATATATTTATTATATAGACACGAGTGTTTTACTGGAAAATATACCACTCGTAAAATTCATAAAAACTACATCCGGGACCGGAGTGGTTTATTTTCCATAATCTCAGACGTGAGTTTATCGATGACGTAATTTCGGTCATTTCCCTCTACTATTTTATAGATGTCTTTTTGTCTATATAATAAAAAGGACATTACACGGCGGCTTGAAGATATGAATTTTATTTTCTCGTGGCAAAAACAATATTAATATTGTTTTGCCACTGGAAAATAAAATTCATATCTTCGCGCCACTGTGTAATATCCTCTCCATATATTTTTTAACAGCGTACGGTCGAGTTAATATATCGTAGTTTTCCGGATGATGGTTTAATTGAGGAGCCAAATTATACCAAAAAAGAGAAATTTACAAAGGTAAGTGAACTTTTAATGATACAACTCGAGCTGTTCCGTCTTGCTCTCGCACTTGTCTTTTATTATTAGTGATATAAAAACCCCTTACGTAGTCATGAGTGAGCAGGAGCACGGCGACGTGCAAGTTAGTGGCCTTGAAAATCCAATGTCTTTTACTGACAACCAGCGTGTGTCAAGCTAATAGCTGACTAGTCGCTCTAGTCGTCTCCGTTATTTGTAGGCGGTCGTTGATCGGTACCATGAGAGAAGAACAGTATCTCGGCGAGGAGGACAAAAAAAATGTCTGGGCTAATAGAGAGAATGATGCACCCTTGGCTGACCGACGCTACTTGTGAGATAAACCCACTTGCAGGATCTCTAGGCATCCGTCGCTCTAAATACAGTGAACAAAGGAAAATCAAGCATGCACTAACGGGGTTGAAAAGCACGGTTTTACAATGTATTTTGCAGCTTACGTAGCTGGCGGGATTGTCTCGAACTGAGATGTAATTTGTAGCCTTAACGTCTTTTTGAAGCTATGCTTGACAGTTATTATGCCGCCAAGTACAAGTCACAGCAGGCTTATCGAGAAAAATACGACGTGAGAGAGCGGCGCGTGCGAGGATCGAAGTCAGGGTGGAGAAAGGTTTACCTGCTCTGTTTGAAGTTGAACAAGTTAACTCACGCGTGTTGTTTTCCCTGTCACGCGTCTTTTTCTTCCTTGCGCCTATTTTAGTCAAGCGGCTATTATGCATGTGCTTCATGCCATTATGGTTACCGCCCTCTGTTGTTAACATTGGTTGTATTGCTTTTAAATAATGTCTTTAACCATTTGTTTTATATTTGCGCAGAGAAAGCGGTGGCATCTTGAGGAAACGTCTCAAGAGAGAACACACAGTAATATGTCCAACGCGCCCAAGAAATCTAAACACGACAAAAGAAGATACACAAACGCTCATCACAAGAACAACTTCCGTTCATTTGAAGACAGAGACTTCGACACCAAAAAGACTCCATACCACCCTAGAAAAGGTGGCAAGGATGTTATTTCAAACAGAGGATTTCGTTTCAATGATCAATCACATGGAAAGAAATCAAACCCACACTTTATAAAGCCATACACATTTTAAATTACGGCAAGAATAGGGCCTGTTTATTGGAGGCGAGCGAGACCGGAAAGCCTGGCAGGCCCGTTTTACCATGCTGGCTCGGCTCACGCCTTGTTTCCTTATAACATTGTCGTTGTGTTTATATGAGAAGGTGAGTTTGGCAAGATTTCGCTCCGAGCAACCAAGATCTCTGCAAGCAGGCCAGCCCGCCTCCTCATATAAACACAACGACAATTTTATGAGAAACTGACAATGCGTGAGTCGAGCGGGCCTGCCCGGCTACTCGGGTTGGCTCAACTCATATAAGAAGGCCCTTGATATATCCGCAGTACCAGCTTCAGTGTGTTGATGCCCGAGTAAACAATCCTTGGTAAATTGATTATTCTTTTATGAAGTGTAATTGCCATTCTATCCTTACGAACCCTTCAATTAAATGCACATCTCCATTATGTTCAGTTCTCATACCCACCTGGTTTGAAACACGAAAGTAAAATAACCAGAGGCCTTTCTATGAGAGTTCGGGTAACTGTTCGGGCCCCAAGCGAAAACGTTACCGGTGATCAGGTCGAATTGAGGCGACCTCTTACATTTCTCTTACTAGAAGTCGGTCCCAAAAAAATAATAAATTTCCGAAGAACGGGCTGATTGAACGTGTCAGTACATTATAATAAAGCAATCTAAATGGGGGTAATAGCGGAGCTATCGCGCGCGCAGCGGAGCACCATCGTTAACACAATTTGGTTGTCTTTGCATCCAAGAAATTTTGGTTCTGAGAAAATCGTCCGTACACGTTCGTCCGTCCGTTGTTTGAGTAAACTATAGATATTAACGACAGTTTCGCTTTTAGCCCTGGCTAAATCTCTATATTAGCTATAGGGTAATCCAATAACGCCTCATTGAACCTCTGCGGAGGAGAGAGATCGCAGATAGCTTTTAACCCTTTAAGCCCTATAAGAGTGATCAGCGTCAAATTTCTCCTTGTAATATCACTGCTTTATAAAACAAAGTGGTCATGAGAATTAAGGACATGATCACACAAGATGAATCCAATTGATACTTCAACAAATTCTCCCCACTACTTCTATTGAAAACGTATAGAGATAACAAATGAGAATTTCAATTTTGACATTAGGGTTTAAAGGGTTAATGTCTGTTTCCCAACAACGGCTACGTTTACAGCCGTTTTTTTTTCTGGATTTATTAGCAAAGTTAAGATACTCGGATTCGCAGGGGTTTTTTGATCCGAGAACTTTATTGGGTTTAAAAGCTCCGAACACGCGGCCAAATCGAGACATTTTAATTTCGGATTCAGCCATCTTCGTGTAAAGGCAAAACGAATCCTGTATCCAAAATGTTCCGGACTGTTCGTCACAAATCCGGAAAAAACCTCTAGCGTAAATGCAAGTAAAATTGTTGGTCCTCACCTCCCTGTTATGAAGGGCGAATACTACTATCAGAACCTAGTATTAACAATTCGACAGCACATGGTGAAATAATTGTTTTATTTACCTTCCTCGAATACTTATGTGCTAAGAACGTGAGGAAATAAGACCTAATCCCCCATACACCTTCTTTAAAGGTTATGCATTAAGTAGTCTAAGACAAGACTTAGTAGTCCAACAGAACAAATAAAAATGAGAGAAGCAAGGCCGTCCTAAAATGACAGCTATTCGAGTTATCATAACTTTTCCAAAGTGAATGGAAAGCCTTATCAAAATCCACAGATAACTGCGCGCCTTAGCGAGATTTCCAATCTTATAGAGCGATCAAGAAAAGTTAGACTTGCTACAAGTCGACCTCACGAGTTTCTTAGCGGAGGAGCGAGCCTTTTAGGCCGCGGCGGCCAAGTGAGTGACGAAGTCAGGGACAGTTAACTGATGATGTATTAGCCTGGAATGTTGTTGCTGGAATGTTCATTTAAAAGAGAGTTTTACTGTAAACAAAGAGAGGTAAAACGAGCTCAGTAGAGTCTAAACATTTTGAAAAAGCACGAGAAACAACAACGGTCATCGAATGTGATAGAAATGTTACAATGCTACAATGGCGCACCGCTTCACAAGCAGGAATGTAGTGTTAATTTTTCCACTGAAAGGAGAGTAAAACTTATGAAACTAGAACTGAAGACGTTTACAGCGAAACTCAGATTTCTGCATCGACCCAAAAGATTTTGTTTGTGTTATTTGCCTGTCGGAACATTTGGGAGGCTGGGAAAGTTTTGGTTTCCATCATAAATGATGATTGCTTTATAGTTGCCTTAGAAACCATCAACCAGTGACAAACGACCCTCGCGGACAGTTCGAACCCAGCCCGCCAGAACTTCTGAGCGGCAAATCGTATTAGATACGTCTTTGAAAGAAGCTAGACGTTGCACTATTATTTCTGGATTTCAGAAGCCTTCAAAAGGGAATGAACGTTTGATCTTACAAACCTATTTTATACAATCCACTTGCCGAATGGATACACTTCATGACCTGTAAGTGAGCTATTAACCTACGACCGCTAAGGGCTTTAAAACTGTGTGGCCCCCAAAAAAGACACGTATGTAACAGAACATTTTTTCTTAAATGTTGTAGTTAATGATGATTTCTATTCCAACATGTGCGTGCATTCGAGTAAAATAGTTGTACGCTCGCATCACTCGCCGCGGTCTGAAGGCTCAAGCCGTACCAGCGGCTTGTCGTTCTCTCTGTTCGCGGATGCGCACATACATAGGTTCATTCAAAGTGTCGCGGGCACGTCCTGTTTTGGGATGCGAAGGGCCAAGTACCTGAAGAACGAAAGACAATAAGGTTCCAGTCACTGATTAAGCACCGAGCAGTTAGAAGGGTAGAAGTGGGTATAGTCTAACACGACTTGGCCTGAACACTGTCTACACCTGACTGCGATATAACAACTGGCTTTCACTGTGAAAAGAACCGTATGACTTTTTATTGTCTAGTCTAATCTTTCATTTCGTTTTCTTCTTCCTTCTCTTTTATTCATTTTTAGTTTAGTTTTGTTTGTGTTGGTTGTTACCTTCTTGACTATTCGCAACTGAATGGTATAAGCATAAACTTAAACAAGAGAAATAGCATGGCCCTTGTCAGAGACCGTCTTTTGTTTGTTTGGTTGTTTTTCGCTAACATTTAAACAGGAAAGAACAACTTCATAAATTACAACATGTTCAAGAAAGAATACACTTCTCATCGCTCCTTAACTCTGGGGCCGTTTCGCGAAACGTCCCACCGGCGAGAAGCAATGAAGGCGGTTGTATTAGCAAGCAACAATACAGTGATTACAGCACATCAAACATGTTTACCTTTCCTATCTCTTGAAGCTATTTTAAAGTCTAGACAAACAGCACCCACCTCTTGACAAGTCTCGTGCCACTTCACGAAGTAATCATAAGCTTTCTGGTAATCCCTGTTGTCTTCATAAAGGATTCCAATATTCAGGTAGAGCCTTAACATCAACATGTGCTTCTCACCGTAAGTTTTTAAACACAGCTCAAATGATCTGTTCAACATCTGCGCAAAACAAGGCAAGAACAATGAATAAACACGAGTTGTAGGTCAACTATAGGCTTAGCAATGAATTTATAACGTCCATAAAGGGATATAAAATGCAAATAAAACTACGTGTCCAGCATCCCGACACTTCAGCCCCCTCCACAATAATCCGGACATTTTTGAAACCAAGTATTTTGTTCCCTGGCTTCGTCGGCACAGGACCCTAAACCACTTTACAGAGCGCTTTGAAAGATGTGGTTTCGGTGGGCGAATTCACAAATCCGCGTCTTTCAGTTTCGGGGAGCTGATTCACATATCCGCACCTTTTTGAAACCGCTCTCCAGAGACGTGATTTAAGCACCGTCCAAACGAATACGTAAAAAAAGAAATGCGGTTTCAAAAATCTGCGCATTTGTGTGGAAGGGGCTAAATTATTTGTTCTGACGCGTACAAAACTATGCTTAAAAGGTTCTCGTCCTTTCAATTCGACAACATTTTGTTTGCGTTAACAGACGTTTGGACAGAGCCTTGATGAAAAAAAAATTGAATGTTTTAAGTCTCTCCCTTTCTCAGGAGAATCATTCATATTTTGGCATTTTGATAAGTCAAACTCACTCTTTGGAATAGTTTTCCAAAACGCAGATCACTAAAAAAGAACATACCTCTTCTTTTTCTTTGAAGTACTTTCTTGCACGTGGGTTTATAAACGATTTGGTCATAATCGCTTCTGCCATATGTCCCATGTCACCGTGCTAGACGACAAACAAAATCATTTTTTATTAAGTCCGCAAACTCAGAGAATCAGAAAACATAAAAGAACAATTGAACCTGGGAATACCGTTCTGACAAACGAATTTGGGACTCAAACCCAGGACCGCCGGGGGACCGCCGAGTTGCAAGTTTGAGAGTCAGTACGCTTAGCTAGAGAAATCCGTATTTTTTTAGATTTTTAGAACGTCTGGAAATTTTAAGATGAATTTAGCAACTTTTAGAGCTAAACAAATGTGTAGAATGCGTAAAAAAAACGTTTAGAGACTGGAATAATTAGATAAACAATACTTTTGCTGGAGCTGTTAAATTAAGGAACTGAACACTGGTTTTACCATTCAATTTATCTTTCCCACAATGTTTTTGGCCGTAAGTTACCGGAAAAAAGACGCTAGTCATGCTGGACGTACGTTATCCGCAATAATTGTTATGGAGGCAGCCTGTTTTAACTTACAATGTTCTTTAAAACTTTGATATTTTGGTCAAAAGATTGGGGTTTTTCGGTAAAATTTTGAGATTTTGAGAATTTTTTTGGAGATAATCCGGATATATTTTTGGCCGCAAGGCGATTTTTCCAGAGTCGGTCACGATGCTAACCTCCCGCAGTACTTAGACGATCGTTTGGTTGTCACGCAATCCTCCCCAAAGAGAGTCAAAACAACATCCGTGTTACCAGGCTACCAGGGGTCAATTTAATAAAACTTTTACAAGTGTAATTCATAAGTGACGTTTTTTTCAGACTCCAAAACAATGGCTACACCTGTAAATTACACTTGTAAAAGTTTTATTTAATTGACCCTAGGCTGCAAAGGTTGTGACGTTTCTGTGAAATTTACCCTCATAAAGATGTCGATTGCTTCATCTATGTACTTAAAACAGTCTCTCCGTGTTTGTTCAGCGCCTTCCTGCTCTAAATCCGCCACAATGCTGAGATGATGTGCGATGAGTATGTCAATCATTGCTGTTTTGTGCTGCAAGAAATAGTTCAATAAATAAGTCAAAGTTCAAATGGAATAAACCCGTTTTGCCACAATATTATTGTCAACTAAAGTGAGAAAGCGATTTCTCATTTCCTGGCAATTTTAGTCTAAGAAACCAGCCGTCATTTTGTAACACAACCACTGGTTTCCCCGCAAAATGGTACCTGGGGAACGCGCGCAGAAATTCCATACTAGAGAGATGAAGGCAAACGTCAGATTCAAGTTGAGAATTTCTCAGAATAGAAAATAAGCATATAAAAACTGTTCAGAACAGTTCTCATGTATTTGTATTTGTATTGTATTTGTATTTATTTATTTGCCACACGATTACAATAATCACAAAAAGATGCCAAAAAAATGTAAGAAGAAATGGCGAGGAGGCCTAAAAGAAACTATAGAGCTTATGTATAAAACTGGCGTGAAACTACTTATTTTTGTTAGTTGAAGTAATAAACAGTTAACAACAATTAAGGGAAAACTTGGTCACGTGGTACAAATTCACCCTTGCCGTTCGGCGTAAACGTGAATCTTAATCTCTCTACTGATGACGTGTAACTACCTCGATCTCGGTAGTGCTTCTGAAGGTTTTGCCCCAAGGGAAATCTGCTTCAACCAATCAGAAGCACAAACCAGATCTGGGTGGTGAAACGTCATCAGTATGCAATTTCTGCACTCTTTTCTCAAACGTCATTTCGCGGGGAGTTTGGCAGAAAGTTTTTTTCACACAAAATTATTGTCACGCTTGTCACACAAGATTTGCCGTCTTCTTTCCTGTACAAGAGCCTGCTATGGTAGCGCTTTTAACCATTTCCTAAACTTTTAGTCTATGGACAAATATCTCTGGGCATGGATAATAGAATTATCCATGCTCTGGGGTAACAATTCAAATGAAGCTTCTTTGACAATACTTTCACATGGTGCTACTTGTTTTTCAGCATTTTACAATCTGAAATTTTGAATTTTAGCTTCCTTTAACACTGAAAGGGTTGATATTAAGGTCATGGTTTCCAATGAAGGTGGTTCTAACTTTCGAGATAAGGATGAAATGCTTAATTAAGAGATCAGTCTTCACAAAGTAGTTCTAACATTATTTTGTAAGTTTAAATCATTTTTCACCTTACCTCGTGTTCTTCTCCACTTAGCTGTTTACGATAACTCAGGGACTTTTTACAAAATTCCACGATTTCCCTGTCTTGCTCCAGCTGATCCATTGTAACAAAATTGTAATTCTTTACAACCTACAGTCAACAAATCAGTCCGCATCAGTTCCCATGCGCTACGCGAGTCAGAAAAAAACATTAAGAAGACCACTGCTTTAAGACCTAAAGGGAAACCATAGTTATATCCCTTGCACCAAAGGGTCGGACCTGATTGTTTTGTTAGCTATTACAACAGGAGAATTAGGTCTTAAAGTTGTCTTTTTGGCCTGGAATAAGGTGCCATGTCTTCTTTGAAGCGGACGAAAAACGGCTCGTCGGTACAGTCTATATTTAGTGGTCGAAAAACATGTGTAATTTTATAGCACCTTACTTATCTAACAGACAATTTTATTTACGTCTGTATATTTCCGTTGAGTTTGTTGTCCGTTTTATAACATATGTCTGAAATCATTTTCCATAACTACTGTGATCTTAGCTATCTGCTTTTAAAAGAAATTTCCCGGTCTGGATACCGAAGAAGCAAATCTCACCCAAGACCCCTTGTACCGGTGCACTGTTGATCGTCACACATTGGCCTTGTGCCCGCTTAAGTCCCTGCATAGCCTGGGTTGGGGGGAGGGGAGGAGGGTGCTGGAGATTTACACTGACCGACTGACTGGTATAGAAAGATTTTCCCAGAGAGGAAAGAGAGAAAAAATAAACTTAAGGTGAGTGCCGTTACCTCGCTCTTGGTTTTGGACATAAGTTGATAAATGTCGGCTAGTTTATCGGTTCTAGCTCCCAGACTTTCCTCTTCTAACTTGAGAAGGTCATTCAACATCTCATGTGCATCATTGTACTGTCCAGCCTGAATTCTGAAAAGACACAGGCACACCAGACATTTATACTTAGGGATTTAGCGCCAAAATAACAAATGACATCTATCATTTCGATTGTTAGCCATTTCGAGTGAGGATAACCACGACAAATACAGGTGTCAATATTTTTACTGTATTAAAAATACTTACAGAAACATGACTACCATCTCCGTTCTCTTGGCAACTTCCTCAAGCGATGCCTCTGAGTCACGCAATACTTGTAACGCCTCCTTATAAAGAGCAGAAGCGGTAGCATATCCACCAGCCTGTCACACAACACAAAAAATTCGTCACGTAATGCACGACCTGGAAACATCCATAGTTAAAACGCAAAAGAACGGTGAAGGATAAAATGTAAAAGTTTTGAGGTAATCCCTCGTTTACCTTTTGCCATGATCTGAGTAGATCGATACTGAAGTCTTCGGAAAATAACCGTTCAAATACTTCCCATTCCAGCAAGCATCGTGTTAATCTGTTGTTATCCAACAGCTGTTCAAGATGATATGGCAGTTCCTAATAAGAAGGAAACGTGCGAACACAGAAAATCAACCTCAAAATTGCAAAAGTTCTGTTAAGTAAAGAACAGGTACCCGAAGCTCAAAAGTGAGAATCGTTGTTGCATAACAGAACTATTATAAGGGTTTGTATAGGGATACTAGCGACCGTTATTTTTGAGTCAAAATAGCAATACGGATACATCAAAACTTCTTACCTTGTCTCCCTGTATTATTTATGGTGTGTTGTTAGCCTTTTCGGCCGTTTCAGCGCGATTCCAGCGGAATCGGAAATACATTTTATGTTCCCCTCTACCCCACAAGGGGCCGCTCCTAGTTAAAATTTTTCTCTCTCTACTTTTAGTTTGTTGAGATCGCCAATTCTCAACTGACGATTCAGACGCAAGCAATGAGTAAAGGATATCTTCCTTAGAATTTACAAGGTCCTGAAAATTGCCTTTTGTTTGTTTGTTTGTTTGTATACGTCGAACAAGTGAATTCATTCGGAAACAAGTGCAAGATCTGATAAATATTCTTACTACCTACCTCCGACTTTCGATCGTAATCTTCGCTTCCTTCAAAGAACTCAGCATGCTGTCCATGCCAGAATGTATACTGATGTTTCACGTAACCTTCGGATCCCGTGAAATACCTTGGAAAAGTAAAAATGAAACATTTGGCCTTAGGGTCGACTGCAACAACGACAGGAAGAATAGACTGCGTTTGAGGCATGATTTAAACCAGATATAGCTGTGGAAGGCAGGACAATACAATACTTGTGTAGCCCATCTGTACTAGCAAAAAATAAAACAAAAGCTAACAACTTGAGGGAGGAACTTTAAACAACAATTGCGTGTGACCTTATGATTCACTAACTGTTCAGCCTCATGAAATGTAATCCTGATCTTGACGGTTCTCGGATTCATGAACACCACTTAAATTTTAAGACACCAACTGAGTATTTGTCGGCTCCATCGGAAGCGCTTCGGACACGCAAGTCGGCACTTCATAGACGCGAGAAGTAAACTGGAGCCGAAATGCGTCCCGCAGTTGTTTGTGGGATTGTTACTAGGGATGCATCGGTTAGCTATTGGCCAATCATTTCTTGTCCTTTCAAACAATCCCAGAAGTCTTTGCAAAAGTTAACTCTCGTTGCTAAAGTGGCCAATAAAGGCGACAGTCCCAGGTTCTGTTCCAGCCCTTGATCGCCATCTAGATAAGATAATTTTTGCCCTGTTATTCCGGATTCAAATTCTAGGCCGTGATTGTAAATTGCCTCCTCCTGGTTGCCTCCTGTTATTTTCTATTTGAAAACTTTGTTTCTAATTACCTAAGTGGAGTGCCTGTCAACTGGCTGGAAAAGCTAAGGTTTTAAAATAAAATTTCACTTTTTATAGTATCCTGGATGGTTTCTATGGTATCAGGAAAACCCAGTGATAAGTAAAAAATAGAAAACTTACTTTCTTCTCACAGCTTTACTAATAGATCTGTGGTAGAAGTCAAGGCGACCCTCGCCCAAGTCTCCACACGGTCGCAGAAGTGGCTTCAGTGCGCGATAAACCAAGGCCCATTTGGCTGCTGGGACAAATTTTTTTTCTTTTCTTTTCTTTTTACTTCCGCCTACAGTCTTCTTCCGTTCTTCTTCGTCGTCGTCGCCGTCTTTCTGTACATACGTTTCATCCACTTGTTTTGAAAGCTTGTCTGCTACTGTCAGCTTGTCTGGAGCTGGAATAATAAAAATGGCATAATGATCAAAAACCTACAAAAAAGACATTTCTATACCCTAACCGTCCTTTGCATCTACAAAGCGTGACCGGATAACGAGACACCATGAAATGAGTGACGTTCGACAGGCCGTTACGTGGCCATGTTTTGGCGCTAAAAGTAAGATATTGGTTACATATTTCGAGTGAGAATGAAGCTGTAACATAGTTAAAATGAATCATCTTATTCTTCGAGTCAAAATAACGATGAAAAATTTGTCCGTATATACTGTATCTATACCGAACAAACGTGTCGTTGTTCGACAGTCAATACGCATTTACTACAAAACATGTGGTGAACAGTCACCCTGTTTAAGTTAATCCGGATTCCAGAATCCGGGAAATTTTTGCTTGTGGAAACTGGAATCCTGGGCTTTAGAATCCTAGAATCCGGAATTCAGCTCAAAAATCCAGAATCCCGCAAACGATTGGAATCCGGAATCCGAGGTCCACTGACACAGACTCCAGCACTTCGAATCCGGAATCCACAGCTGGAATCCAGAATCCAAGACTGTTTTGGATTACTTTACACGGGGAGAGTTTACCACCAAATAAGGTTATGTTTTTCTGTTGCGTCAGCACTTTTAGGGAGAAAAGGAGTTAAAAGTCTACAATCAAGTCAATCAAGTCTAAAATCAACTACAAACGAAAACTTTTGGGGAAGTCGCAAGGTTACCTGCTTCTGTAGTCTCAGCCTTTGTCACTGTTATCTGATCAGATTCACCCTCAACGTAGGGGGGAGGGGTAAGCATGGATTCCTCAGCCAGCATCTGAAGCAGTTCTGTTTCTAACAAACCGTGACGCGACGTCTCCAGTAAACACACAGTCGCTACTACAATCTGCCCACCATTCTCTTCTTCAAAACGAGTCAGCACTTGTTCTTCCAGACTAAAACATTTAAGAAAGACTTTGGAATTTGCCCCTATTCTTTGACTACAGCGCTTTCTGATATGCTCGGCGAGGAAGCTTTCTATTTGGGATCACTTGCGCTAGGAGAGGGGAAACCGAGAATACTTTCAAAAAAATTTTTCTTTAGACGAAGTCCAGGTTTTAACAGTGTGTTAATCGAAACACACTGCTAAACCTACCAATCATACAGCTTCCATTTTAAAGGCTAAGTAGAACAGAAGTACCTACCGAAGTACGTACAGCAAAATCAAGAAAGAAACCCAAAGTACCTGATTAAATCGTCAGAAAGGCTTGCAATCTTCTCGTCCATTTTATTGAACACTCCGTAAACTCGCAGCTCCTCGCAAGCCAGTGTTAGCCACAGGGGGTTTGCAGATCCTTCCTTCTCTAACAACATAGACATCTGTCTCTCATCCAGCCGCTTGTTGTATTGCCGCAGAATGTTCTCAACAATAAGCTGAGAAAGGGAAAAAAGAAACGCTTATTATTACGAATGACCACCCATGACGAGAGGTTTTTCATTGTAAGACCTTGTTCGTGTGTCCATACATAGTTCTACAGTGTTAATGTACAATAAATCTCTTTGGTGCGCCCTATTAAGGGCCAGCATTTCCAAATTCGATGCAAAGGAACATTTCACTGCTCCCCACACGATCCTCTTTTACCAACACTTCATTCATTTTATTTTTCTGTTCCTGAATTCGAAAAACATAACACAGCCAAATTTGATTCCTTATTTTGGTCACCTTACTGTCAGAAATACAGTCCCGTTCCCTTTGGCAGTACTGTCATGGTGCGCAATCCAGTTTTCAGTATTCTACAAAATGAAGCTACAATCAAGGACACTCAACTTGGGTCACACTGCTCTGGTACCTGCCAGTCTCCCTTCCAATGTTGTTTTGTAATGGTTTTTCGGTCGAATTGTCCAAGTTCGAGCACAACATTGAAAGGAGGAGGGAAAAGGACGTCGAGCACAGCTTGTCGACGTTATTCCTTCAATTGACCCAAGTTCTAATGTCACGAATTGTAGGAAAGTTGTTGACTTTGCCTTCTTTTGGCAATATAAGAATCATTGAACGAATAGTCACTTTTACAAAGGACACTAACTTAGCAACAGTGAAGACCTATTACATGTATTTATTCATTACCTTTCTAGAATGATAATCCAGTTGACCACAGGTGATTTCATGGGGTCCAGATTTATAAGATCTGAGCAGTCGGTGACATTCAGTGTCGTTTATCATAGACAGCACAACCTTGACATTAGGAGAGAGATTCTCAGGAAGCCAACGGGTCAAATACTGGATTTTGTCATCGTCCATCTAAAAATGTAAATAATTGTGTTGCAAACAACCATGTTAAGAATCGTGAAGCTACCAGCAGGACAAAAGGGGAAATGAGGACCGCTTGTTTTAAATCTTCACGACTATGATTTCCTCAACTACGCAACGCAACTTAAAGGACTCTTATTGCTCTTAACCCTTTGACTACCTGAGTGAATAATCGAGTCTTGTGAGACGATTCTAAAATGATTCTACCCTTCTTTCCTTTAATTTTTTTTTTCAGCACTCTTGGCATCTCTTTTTCATACAAAAACACGTTTTATTTCAATTTTCGTTTATTTCAACCTTTTCCTTTTTCGGTCAGGGCCGCGCCCAGCACCCACATCCGCTGCCCTTCTAGTTTTAATTTGATTCCTTAATACCATAAAGGTACTAGAAAAGGGTTATTTTACGAGCTGGTATGTTAAGCGTTATAGCAAACGATTGCGCGTTTCGTTCCATCTACTCTCTCCGACAGATCAGAAAAAAAGACTACTCACGGGTAAAAAAATGTCATTTATAAAAGATATCTGTAATTTTGTACTCAACAAACTCCAAGTAGCTTCTAAGAATTCGTTTAACAAGTTTATGTGAAATATTCCCAGGGTATTAATGGAGACGAAATTAGAGTTCCAGTCTAAAATCCTTTCAAAGTAAGAGAAGAACCAACAACAAACCCAACCCACACAGACATCTTGACAGACGAATATCCCAAGGTAAAGCGATGCTACTCAATGTAACTTGTGTGAACTGTACCTGATTAATAGCATCCACAAACACCACACATGGCTTAGTGTTCTTGTTGGATAGAAGACTGTTGGTAAGTTGAACAAGGGAGTCCAGGTCACTGACAACATCACGCTAAAAAACAATAATAAACTCATATTAGTTTCAAATGTTAAAATCTTTTCAGAGTTCATACTGTACAGATTTCTCACACAAAACCATTATCGCATTTCTAAAGGCAACTGGAATTTTTATTCGGGGACTTGGGATTTCCCCCGGCTATTGAAGTGTGAGCCCGGTAACCAGTCGTTTCGATATTGGGGATTGTTCACATTTTACTCTCCAGCTAGCCCTTATGTTAACTTCAAGCATGTCATGTTATTATGAATGTACTACAGGATTAAATACTGTTTTAATAGTGTGTCATTCTGCTCACCTTGGATACATTGATTTCTCTCGACAGTCGTTGCAAAAAGAACGCTAAATCAGTAGAACCCGGAGTGGCACCAACAAAATGAAAAAACACCTTACAATTCCTGCAAATAACAAAGTAACATTCAAGGTGTCAATTTTCACATCATCCAAAGCAATCTTACAACGAATATTGCCGCTACAATTTTGCTTCTTTTTCGTACAAGTTTAAAATGACATCTTGGACATAAATTAGTCAGAGTCAACAAAATAGCATCTCAAACTGTTCAGCAGCGTACTGCTGTAAATACAAGGTCAGGAACTGTCATTAGGGACCTTACGAAACTACGACGGTGACGGCATCGGAAACGTCAAAAAAGCCATAGGTTAAATGGTAAATTTTTTTGACGTTCCTGTACAACTACATTGTGAAATGGCCAAACTGTAAATTTACTTGAGAAAGGGAATGGCAAGGCGACAAATTCTACCGTATCTGTCTAAACTCAGGCTTGTTCCCTTCTCTTCAGCTCCAACATAAATTCCCTTCTTTTTAGTAACTGGGCGACTTGGCAAAATCGTGAAAAAGTTTGAAAAGATACAAAGTCTTCTTTTCAACAACGTTTTCATGGACGTCGCCGTTTTCGGATCGTAAGGTCCCTATTATAGTGTTTTTCTTGCCTTAAAAGTATTAGGCTGTGAGCAAAGTCTTGTTTTTGTTTTCCAATTCTCTGGAGTAGCAAGCGTAATACAGTACATACATACAAAGGGCGAGCAGCGAAGCCACAAGCCGCAAGAAACAATCTTTTTTTTTTTTTCACCTCGCCCCACTCCTTTCTTATTGACGTTATTGTTACACTGCTACTGTAGTCAAATTCTTTGTAAAACAAGGAAAGGGAAGACTTTCCCGAAATTCCTTACTTTTTTCCCATAAGCTCTCCTCCTTGAGCACTCGCCAAAGCATCATTTGCACTCTTTGCCATTATAGCTGATTTTCCTGAGCCTGCGTTACCAATGAGCAGCAGTGGGGCATTGGACTCGTCATTCATTATGTAGTTACGTATCTGAAAACAGAAAGTTTCCTTTGCTTCAATGTTCTTACGATAAAGCTCAGTATATTTTCAAACTGCGTAAAACATGCAGTGACAAATTAAACATTTGAATTATTACAGATGCAGAAGGGATGGCATGAAATATTTTTACGATCATTGAAATTCCCCTACAAAAATTCATATTTGGAAAAAAACATGATGGGAAGAATAAATTTCGAAGAATCTGAACACATACTGAAACGCACCAAATAGCAAATACAATACACCTTTTCCTGACAGAATTAAGAAATTTATGCATATAAACAACATACTTTTAATCTGGTAACATTAAATGGCAATCAACTTACTTCTGCAAGTATTTTATCTCTGCCAAGAACCACTTGTCCACGAGTATCTAAAAATGACTGAAAAAACAACAGAAAAACGACGAAATTTTAGCGAAACACAAAGTCGCTATAAACGAGGCTGACAATCGTCTGGTCCCAGTCCCTTATTGTAACATGACGTCGTGGTTTGCAATCGTGCTGGCTCAGATAAGAACTAGATGGATTTTAAGAGAAAAGGCGGACTCCAAGCAGTCTAATAATCACTCCACCTCATTGCCTGAAAAAGGCTAATCAGTATAAGCTGTCGGTCCATTGTGTCTGTAACTAATAATTTAACAGAAATAATCCAACAAAACATGTTTCCAGTAAAGCCGATGGTGGTAAAGCTGCACATTACCATCTGGCCTGGTTAGCTCAGTTGGCTTACAGGTTATTATAGGTTTCCTAGGTGCAGGGTTGTGCTCCAGCAGTGCCTGGTGGCCCATAGCATCTAATTTTTGCTCTTTTCATAAAATGCGTAAACAGGTCACCCAGGATTTCACAGGTTCCAAGCACTGGACCCCCTTCAATTCTTCTTAGAGCACAGCCATTACGTGGGAGGCTGGGTTAAGCCCTGGCTTGACCAGGGGCCCATTTCTCCAAAGACTTGAAAACTTTTTGGGCTCGAAGACAAATTTTAATTAATATCACAACCTATTGAATAGTAGCACAGTTCCTAGCTCACGACACCAGTCAATTTTGCTTCGTTAACTGATAGTTTCATTGCATTACTTTCAAAATTATACTGAAACTTTGATCGTGAATGCAAACACAACAAGCAAAACACATCTTTCATGGCTCAAAAAGTTTCCAGGACTTTCAAGAAACAGGCCCCAAGGTGAAGATCATGCTGAAGGTGCAGTTCAAACCTCATGTGCTGTTTTTTGTGCCTCCAGGGGATCCTCAGGTGTTGGATCAAGAGGATACTGGTGCTCAATGCGATCACGGAAAAAATCAAACACCTATCAAACACAAACAATATCGTAAATACTTCCTAACTTATGTTTGACCGAATGTTCTGCAGCCAGTGCAAAGAAAGTTAGTTTTACAGCTTGCCATTCAGGCAAGCTTAGCTTAAGCACGCCCATGTACTAGACCAAGAGTCATTTTAACCAGCCCGAAAATTTCTTAGATGAGCAGGATTGAATACAAATCTTCCATAATTTGAATTTCCCCCAAAACACTTCATCGCAAGCCTGATAGCAAATATTGGACGGGTCCACTTTATTTGCACGCTAGTATCCTGACTCCAATTCTCACTTTTTAATAACTCAATTTGTTATATAAACATCAATGAAATACAAGGTGAGCTTTCGCACGAAAACATGATATCTTCACACGTGAAAATAACATCTAACATGCTATTTTGCTATGGCTACATAATAAATCGTGCCTGTCGCAGCAAAGAAATATTTAAGGTAAATGGTTTGGCATTTTATTGGTGTTTACAGAACATTAGATGGCCGCTTGAAGATACAAAATTTCCCTTCTCGTGTTGACAAATATTTCTCTCTTTTTTGTATCTGCAAGCGGCCATGTAACGTACTCTATTTCTTCTACTTGTTTATGCAGGATTCATTTGAGGGGGCTACTTATTTTAAACTTTTTATGTGTACATAACGCAGTAATATGCAATACTGTAAAAGTTTGAAAATAAGCCCTGGGGCTTATATTTTTCAAAGGCACTTTTTGAGGCGCTTACTTTTGGAGTGGCTTATCTACGGAGGGAAATTTGCGTTTCAAAATCAGTTGGGCTAGCCGTACCGTTGGAAGTAAATTTACCGTTTTGGCTTTGTTTTTCTTTGTATTTGAGGGCAATTTTCCAAGTACAAGCCCCCGGGGGGCTTATATTTGGAGGGGCGATTTAACAGAGGGTTTTTGGCGTTACCAGATTGGGGGGGGTTATATTTGGAGGGGCTTATACATGGAGGGGCTTATTTTCGGAATTTTACGGTATTTCCCTTTATTCTTTGCTATGTTGAATTTGACAGCACCATTAAAAAAAAAATGCCACAAAATGTAGTTTTATTTAAAGGTCATGTGCATGTCTGTCTCCTTTGATTTGAAATTTAACTCAAAAACAACAACAACAGCAATAACAATAACATGGTTAAAACTCAATAAGCACTACTTGTTTTTGGGATATTGACTTCAATAAAATAAAGCAAACCCTATTTTGGGGTGGGGTTTGTTGAGGGGTCATACTCTTTTAAGAATCTTGGATGCAAGCTAATTATTAAATCTTCTATGGACTGGCACTAATTTACCCTTTTCCAGTATTTTTTTTATCTCACCTCTTGTTTTCCTTCAAAGAATACTGTATGAAATGAGATGCATATTTCATACATATTACTTGGTATTTTGCAAATGAAAACTTTGCACGGTTTTGTCTGAGACATTTCCAAGTTTTCAAAGGGTAATTATTACATGACAATAGGTCATTTTACAGTTGTGTGCTTAGTACCCTGGCCTTTGAATAGACATGAGGCTGGCGGTGACCTTGTTTTGTTACAAACCTGCCTGCTTTTCAAGTGTAAATCGTGGTATTCTCATGCTAACAAGCCCGTGAACATGACCATTTACATTTGAAAAACAAGAAGGTTTGTAGCAAACAAGGTCACCGCCAGCCTCGCTTCCATTCAAAGGCCAGGGCACTGAGCACACAACTGTAAAATGGCCTATTTCTGGTACTTGAGACAAAGTTTCACCATGGTAATCAGCAGAAGTCTTATAACCATTTCATAACAGGTGATAAGCACTTTAAGCTTTAAACTAGACATATTCAACAAATTCGTACGTGCTAAGGCTGAGCTTAGCCATTTTTTAAATAAGAGGACTGCTTACCACTGACCAGCAGTCATTTGAACCCAGAACAGACTATGAGATAATTCTAATTACTTTGCACTTCGCTCACGCAGATAATCAAATCTCTCTTTTGTCCACTGTATATTTTTGATGTTTATATTTTTTTTATGCTTCAATGTTTATTTTTATGTAACAGATCTATGAATTCCTACTCACCGTTTTGTAAAAAGTTGTGTCTGAGCCACTTATTCCTTTAAGTCTGACTTCCCTCTCATCTCCTAACGCTGCACTTTTCTGAACACTGGATGGCTCACAGTCAACTTTGTAGTGAACAAGGTTTTCTGCCTGTAGAATTTTTAAAAGTTAAAATGAAGTTAGACCATTAGCTTAGGGAGAAAATGGGATAACAATGTGATATTACTCTGCAGGATGTCTTGCTCGTCTTGGAAACTCTATTGCTATTGTTATCATTATCATTATCATTACTACTTCCTTGTTTTGCAATTAGCTCTTCCAACAGTACCAGGAAGCTACCAGTTTCCTTGAGAGCTGCTTTGGGGAGAAGGAGGGAGGGGTCATTTTCAACTAATATAAACTCCCATTTAATAACCTCAACATAATTATACCACTACACAGATACATACGGGAAAATGCTCTTTCAGTGCTTCTTTGAGCTTTTTCATCTTTTCTGTACATATATCATTGCCGTCTACAAATGCATCTTTGATCTCCTCTGGCAAGGTCTCAGTGAACTCTGAATCTCTGATTAAAAAAAGTGCTGAAAAAAGCATTGTACAGGTGTAGGCGTCAATATATAGAAACTAAACAATATTACTTAAGATAGAAATGAAACTTTTAAGAGCATGCCTTTGGATATTTCATGTACATGGTGTTGTTACTTAAAGATCTCATGCTAAAGCAATATATACAGTTAAATGTTTACTTGACAAACATTCCAGTTCAGACTGGTATTTAGTTTATCCACTTATAATAAACTAAAGAAAGGCCAATAAATATCACAAAAATATCAATAGCACCCAATTGTCTTGAACATCACAATAATATTGCCTACCATTAGGATTGCATTTTCTGAAGGCTCCATGAACAATTTCCATCTCAGTGAGTGATAAGCCATAAACCCAGCCATATTGTACAGCTAAATTGTACGTCAAGTCACCAAATGTTGGTATCCACCCTGCACGGGCACTATATATAAACAAAGACATGCAGGTCAGAAGGATTTAATCTAAATTATCAGTAAACTGAAATGCTGCCTACCAAAGCAATCCATGCAAGTACACTTAAAAATCAATTTTTAAAATTTGTATCTATTTCAGTCAAAAAAGAACAATGAAAAGTACAATTGATTTCAAACTGACCAACATAATAATTATTGATTTAGAACAAAATGGAGGAGTGGTAAATTGAAATTCAACTTTATAAATGAAAATCGCTGTTACTTCTAAATAATATACTTACCAGTTAAGATTAAGAAAATATGGAACCACATTATCTTCATAGCAGCGATCCAATTCACCAAGACAAATCTTGATCGTTTCTTCAGTTGTAGAATCCTTGGGAACTCCCTAAGAGAGAGAAAAGATATCATAAGCACTTTAACAAGTAGAGGGAGCTTGGCCCTGGGAGGAGTGGGTTCTCAGTACGTTATGTATGGGGATGTATATCCCTACCTGAGGACAAACCATTTACCTTAAATAATCCACTCTTCTTCACACTGTAAGTAACATATTACATACCGTAAAATTCCGAAAATAAGCCCCTCCATGTAGAAGCCCCTCCAAATATAAGCCCCCCAATCCGGTAACGCAAAAAACCGCCCGTTAAATCGCCCCTTCAAATATAAGCCTCCCAGGGGCTTGTACTTGGAAAATTGCCCTCAAATACAAAGTAAAACAAAGCAAACATGGTAAATTTACTTCCAACTATACGGCTCGCCCAATCGATTTTGAAACGCAAATTGCCCTCCGTAGATAAGCCCCTCCGAATATAAGCCCCTTCAAAAATAAGCCCCTCAAAACGGGCCTTTGAAAAATATAAGCCAAGGGGCTTATTTTCGGAATTTTACGGTATTACATGGATGTATGCTTCTCATGTCTTTGACACAGACGAACCTCTACTAACGGCCACCTCTCTACAACGACCACTTCATTTTGTCCCAGCGGACAGTCCATACATTGACTCTTACTTTAGGGCTTCTGATTTTTTGCGTGGTCGCGGAGCTGCGAAATTCAACTCCGCTAAATCCCGCGAAATTCACAAAAACATGAAAAATACCGCAAAAATTCGGTAGGAATCTTATCAAATACATGTCTGTAAAACATATTTGAAACTTATTTCAGCTATAGGGGCTGTTTACTACTTGCCGGAAACTTGCAAATTTATCTTGGAACTTCGTCACTGAAACGTGCAAACAACGTCCCGAAACTACCAGGTGTAGATTATGTTGCGAAAAACTGGGCACTAGCCATGATGGCTTTGCCATTGGTTCATTTCTGGGGCATATTGTTGTTGACAGAGCAAATGATGACCTCTGTTAGAAAAACGTTAAAAATGCTGGTCTGCTCAGTGCAAAACCGATCGCTTTCTAGTGAAATTTGCCTTGAAAATAACCACAAAATTGGCCGTTTTTTACTGATTGCTTTTTGGTGAAGTTTGCCCTGAAACTCCCGCGAAATTCCCACGAAATCGGCCAATTTTTCTCTGAATTGGTCTCTAAAAATCCCACAAAATTTGACTTTTTCTTCCGTGACCTATCAGAAGCCCTGTTATTTATAACCCTCTCTACAACAGCAATGGCCACAAACGTGTGTCCCTAACTGCCTCAACAATGGCCAGTTTTTTCCAGCGACTGATGAAAAAGTTAAGAATGGTCATGAAATTTGATCCATATGGTATGTTAGCCATGACAAACATATTTTGATTTTGTTTATTTATAATGCCAGTAGGCATAAATTGTCTACGATATTTCTAGCAAATGTGGCAAACCTTGTTCGCTTTGTCTTAGAATATTTCGTAAAACCCTTAAGAACTCTATCCTCAATTGTTTTTCTAATTAATTATCTGCCTTAGTGCATATAAAAAAATATATATTCTTAATTCTGTTGGTAATTGTATTTTATTGCAGGGGTCATCCACTAGATTAGCCTTTGCTATTTGGATGATCCCAACTCGCTCTCTATTTTGTTGTTACAATTTTTCTTTTATTCCTTAGTTGTACTGTGTTTATTTGCCTATGTAAATTTAACCTATTATTATGTCATGTAAAACTGAGCTAAGTTTAATAAATCATCTTGTCTTGTCTTGTCTTATGCACATTTTTAACATTTTTATTCAAAACATAATTCAAGCTTTTTGTGCATTTTATCTCTACATATTATTCATGACTGGATTACCATTATATTATGGGACACTGTGCAGTAATCATGAAATTAGCACAATAAGCATGTTGTGCACCCTAAAAAAAAATTCTCATTTTACACCCCTACGTCCCCATGATGGCCACCTCTCCACAACTGCCACTTTTTCCTTTCCCTATAAGGTTGCCGTTGTGGAGATCGAGGTTTGACTGCATAGTTTTAGAGAACTTTTAAGTCATACAAAAATGCTGAAAGACAATAACATTATTTTATTAATCTTCACTTACCCATCTTAAGTCACATTCCACAAGGTGAAGTTTTCTCTGCTCACACCAAAGCCGTAAATCAGGAAATACCTGCATGAACATGACATCATCATCAACATCATCATCATTACCACGTTAGTTGATAAAGAAGGTTATCTATACAAGGTAGCTTAAATTAAGGCTGAGTTGGACATGTATAGAGGCAAATAAGCTCAAGTTCTTTTTCACAATACCATGTCTACATCTTCTACTCTTTATGAACAAACTTTTCATGCAATGTTGTACAAAGTGTTCTTTTTTTCTGCTGGGTATTGAGCTTAGAACACTTTGCTTTGCCTGACCTATAATTAACAATATTATTCCATGGGTGTGCGTTGGATACGAGATGGTAGATATCCAATAAGCGCGAGTGGAATAATTGTTTTATTAAAAACGACTACAAAATGTTGAGAATTCTTCCCGAATTTGTTTGTAAAAACAACCGATTTTCAGCTTGTTTTTAATTTTGAGCAGACACGTACAGTTAGCATATTTGAAAGGCATGGTATAATGGCTCATATACCATGATGGCTTAGCCAATCAGAGCTCTAGAATTGCATTAACCAATGATTCAGTTTTTAATAATACCTGATATCTGAAGGGACTCACCCATCCTTCCCTGAAGAGAGGTTAAATATCTAATTTCCAAGTGCTAATAAAAGGATTATATTTTCTGTGGAAACCCATGCACATGTGCTTAAGGCTTTTTTTTAGCTTATGACATGTATGACTTTCAATAGCCTGTGAACTCTGCAGTTAAAAAGCCAACCAACATTTGTGCTCTTTGCTACTACACTGCTGTATCAATCATCTTAGCAGACCTCTCAGAAGACAGAAGTTTACTACAGCATGTTAAAAAACTCAATATGGTTGGTAGCCTGCAAGAGCAGACGCCTTTTTGGGCTCTTGTTTCACCCACAAAGAAATAAACGAGTGGATCAAGAACCAAAAAAGGCATCTGCTCTCGCAGGCTAGGTGATGGGTGGATTTTGATACACTTTGTGTGTTCCTGTATTTCAAGGTTTGTTGTTTTTTACTGTAATAATGATTGACAGCTGCAAAAATGTAATAATATTATTATTGTGCAGTTGACTTTTAAACTTAAATGTTTGCATGTTTTTTAAGGTACAGTAAAATGAGAGGGTAAAGAATGTCTTAGACCTGAGTATTTGCTACCCAAATGTATCAGTTTTATTATGTATCTTACGAACAAAGAAACATGATTGAGGCCGAACAGACATCATTTAACTTTAGCATATTAAGGCTCTAAAATATTTCTGGAGGCATAAATAAAAAATAATAATAATATAATCTGCAAGCTAATGTGATACTTGCCTTTAATATATGGGTTTAAATACTTCTCCAATGCATTAAAAGATAGGTTTATTTTTTTTGTGACAAAATCGCTTTTAACACAAGCTCTTGAAGTGTTGCGATAAAAATTAAACGTGACCTCTTTCGAAACTGTAACCTTAAACCATGTACACATCCGTTACTTGAGACTTTTCTAACTCGTGCCGATTTCGGTTTGATTTCAGTTTATTTAAGCCTACATTAATGAAACTGCAGTGTCTGCAATTTGAATGTATAAATGATTGGAAGTAATTGTGAGCTTCAATAAGATCAACAATCTTCGTCGTTGATAAACAAATAACAAGGAAAAACTAAATAGATTAAGCCTACACTTTCAATCTACTCATTCGATCTTGCCATTGTCAGTTTTACTACACCACTAAAAGGGATTGCACTGACCTCTTTGACAAGGACTTCTCTCTCTGCGTGAAAGTCTCGGAAAGTTGAAGACACAAATAGCCTAATCGTTTTCCAACCCCGTCGATTCTTCACCGAATCGAGCTTCCATTCTCTGTTTCTGTCACAGGTCTTTTTAACAACTGCCCACATGTCTTCTGGATCGGAGGGTCGTAACGCTGCAACTTCTTCGTAAGATAGCGAAAAAAACTCACTGCTGTCGATATGCTCGTGCTGGGGTTCGCTTTTCGGTCGAGTTTGAGTCTGTTCGATTCTTTGAGGTTCCGCAGGCTTGACTTGCTCCTCGTCAGCCTTCAAAGGTTTTGGTGCGGCTTGTGGTTTGTGTGCAGTGCTTACAACAGGAGGTCTCGAAGTTCCACAACCCATAGAACTGCAAATCAGAACGTTCGGTCCGTGATAAGTTGCTTCTTTGTGATAAAAGTTTCAACAAAATACCTCCAAGCCGGCCATGTTCGTGGGTCGATCGGAGATCACATTCACGCAACATCAAGCTTACAACCTACTTATCATAAATTTTCATGAAAACAGGGCTATTGATTCGAGGAAAGAGATTTTGTTTGTACCTCCTAATGACCCGTTGCTTGTAGCAACGTGTTGTTGATGAATTATGAAGGAATGAATGCAAGGAAATAACAAAAGCATAATTACCTCGTCTCGTACCGCCATCAAGTTCGCTTTTCGCTATCGCTAGTTTGAGTTTCTCTCGACCCAGTCTTCGCTAGTTTAATAAAAAAACTTCCTATGTTGCGGTGGTTTTTTTTAAAAAAACAAAACCTGAATATTGAACCTGTCGAATTTGCGTTAAAAATGCCGCTATAGGAGCTTAATTATATTCGATTTTGTATGATAAACAAAAGTTCCTCCTCTCTCTTCTACATGCGCAGAAGAGCTCTGGGTCGAGATCGGAATTTTAGTAATTCAAAAGCGTGACAGTTGCGCACTTCCGGTGAAAACAAACAAGGGCCAAGAAGCAAACCGCACACCCGTTAAAACTAAAATATAATAATCTGCGAGAAGAAATGGGAACGTATCATAAAAGACCTTACACAAATAAGAGAATATAGATATCTTATTAGGGCGGTTTAGTGTGTAGTATCGAGGGACATTTTTACGAGTCACGCCGTATTTTAGCGAACCCCTAGAACGAATCAAAATACAAGAGACGAGTAAAAATATCCCACGATACTACACACTAACCGTCTGATAAGAGATTTATTATTCAACTCGAAGTGTTTTAAAATAGAACTCAGTAAATAAGTAAAATGAGAATGCGAGAATGTTTAACGTGACTCCTTTGCAACTCCAGTTTTCGCGCGCTTTATGCAACGTTGTTGCTGATTGGTCTAAAACGAAAAGTTGTCAACCTAGTTTACTTTGTCGGATTTCTTGGGTTACCGTAAAATTCCAAAAATAAGCCTGGGTGCTTATATTTTTCAAAGCCCTTTTTGAGGGGCTTATTTTTGGAGGGGCTTAAATTCGGAGGGACTTATCTACGGAAGGTAATTTGCGTTTCAAAATCGATTGGGCTAGCCTTATAGTTGGAAGTACTTGGAGGGGCTTATTTTCGGAATTTTACGGTATCTTTCAAACATTTGCTGGGAAAACAGAGGTGGAATGACAAATAATTGTGAGGCTTATGATGGTCTTCCGGTCCTTATGTATAACCGACTGCAAGAAGGTAAACTGAGCATGCAAAGCAAATTGCGATGGAAAGACTAAAAATCTCCCACGAATTGAAGGAGTCTTAAGAGCTACTCGTAAACAATACCCTGCGAGCAGAGGCTACGTTTTCGCTGTGTGAGCTGTCGTGCGAAAAGTAGCTACTTTTCAATGCAAACTTCTCACTACATATTCTCCCCGTGCTACCAGTGCAAATTCCCCACTCCCCAGGCCTGGCACAAACCATGGTCAAACGCCGGGGTTTGCCCGGGAAGGAGCCGGGGGATAATTTGAAGTTTCGAATCGATCGGCGCATTTATTTTAAAACGATTTTGCTGAGAATAGAATATCTTTTAATTCCCCACGTGCACAAACCACTCAGCAAAACCTGGAAATAGCACTATTATTTTTGACTTTTTAATGACGTTTAGTTTTTCTTGAGTGGAACTTCATTTTCGCGGAGGAAAAAGACTCTAAAACATATCTAAAAAACGTTAAGTGAAAACACCGCTACATGGGCTTATCATGGATTTAGAAGGTGGCTCCGAGCCAGAGGGATCCTGCCTTTTTGAAGTTAATAATGAATGACTTACATTCCATTTTCTTGGCAGAGTGGGAGCGTCCTCTTACGGCAGCAAAGTAGAGAAAATATTGAAGGGGCTGAGTTAGGAGTCTCCATAGCTCATGCAGCTGTAATACTGAATGCTGGCTTTATCGTTGCCTCCTAACAAATGTAAAGAAGGAGCTAGTGCACCATATACGATTAGCCGTAGGCGAGAAAGACTTTGTCCTCTCTTGCTGTTTGTATTTTTCCGCCCGTTTGAGGATGGGCAAGTTTGTAACATCATTTGTAAATCCACTTTTGGATAAGGCCACCTTTCTTTTGAAGTAATTTATTTAATAAGTGACATAGGCGTACGGGCCGGGGGGGCGAGGGGGGCTGCAGCCCCCCCAAAGTTTGGGCAACTCAGATTTTTTGGGCAGCGAGAGGAAATTTGGGCAAAGCCAGTTTTTAAAGGAAGTCTCCATGTTCATTTAATTATTTTAAAGAGCTGAATATTAACCTGAAGTAGGCGTAATAATCCAGTTACATTACAGTGGTTGCTTAGCATGTGATGAGTAATTTACACATTTGCAGTTTTTTTTTATGGGCACTATACTGCACTGCACTAGCTGGAATGGGCTATTTCCAGTCGAGAATTGATTAAAATAAACTTTCGCATAACTTTCTAGAATCATCTCCACTCGAAGAACAGTGTATGGCAGATAGCATTTAGCAATGGGTATTGCCTGCCTTGCCTGCATAGCAAGCGTTTCCGCGCGATTTCGACTGAAAACTGTATGAACATGAAGAAGTGGCTGACTAATTCTCAGTTTGAATTACGAGAAGAATCTTAATTCTTTTAAAAAATCTATCGAGCGGTTTAAAATTATCCGCTGATTTGTTAAAGTAGACCGAAATGTTTACAAAACCGCTAACAAGAGTGTCTCGATACATACTAATCAAATCTTTCTTTCGATTCTAGCAATCAAGCAGAGCTACCTCCACGATCTTTCACACAAGTTTTTAAAACGATTAAAGCTACTATGAGGTGAAATTGCAGGACAAAAGCACTTCATTTTCTACAGATAATGGCCAAAAATCAAGATTTTCTTTTCCTTACCGTATTTCTAATAATAAAAAATCATTGCAAAATATCTCGATAACGCTCTTAAGGTTTTGCTTAAACTTCACGAACATCGAGGCGACCGTATTGGAGAAAAAAGCTCCTGTGAACGATTTTGTAAGGTTCCCGTACCGAGAAAAAATAGGTAATGGAGTCATTTCGTTGCCACGACAACTCCGATGTCACTGCAACCCTGATAATGCCAAATTTTCATCTTAATACCACTGTGGTCGCAGTTTTTCCAAATGTTTGCTTATGGCGACGTAGTTTATGCTCAGACTTGGTATTGATCCTGAAAACCTGCATCGAGCCACCTTCATATGCCAGGACGGCCTATGTTGTTGCAATATGGCCCTCATTTCTTTTCGACTCTTTCGTAAAAATTTGGGCAACTTAGGAGATTTTTTTGGGCAAATGGTTTACCGCCCCCCCTGGCAAAAAATTTCCCGTACGCCTATGATAAGTGATTGTTTTTAGTGTCTATAGTAAAGACAAATAACTAGCATCCCTTTGTAGTTGACATTGAATTCCCTAAAACAATGGCCTATTTATGTAGGAGTATTTCTTAAAACAGGAAAAGGAGTGATTCCCTTCAATAAAACTTTAGCAGAGAAAAGTTTGGCCGTGATTTGAACAAAACTAATTTATGTAGCATGCAGAATCACTGATCGTTCTGTTTGAATTTAAAACGTTTCCATGAAATCCCTAAACGCGGACAATAGAACTGTTTTTCGGAGTTTTCCGTGTTGTGTTTTGAATTATAAAATATTGCACCAAATCTTTTTTGTTTAACTTTTGCAATTAAGTGCTCCTGTCAGCGAGATACTTAAACGTTCTTCGCAGTATACATCGGAATTTAATTTGGTCAATTTTAACTGGAAAATACAGAAAAAATTTACCATACCTTGGGATTGCAGCATTTTTCATCCAGAAAAAGCTTACGAGCGCCAAAGACTAGAATAAATTGCGCCAATAAGAAGTCATTGTCCTAAGGCAGCAGGATGCAAACTTTATAATTCATTGGTGTATAACCACCAATCGCGCTTTCACGGCAACCTCGATTCGTGGATTGAATTCCTAAACTTCTGGAATATTTTCAACGGCTATTATCATCTTAAGTAGTTCGATATCATTAGCGATGAGGAAAGTTTTAATAAGGATCAAGAATAAAAAAGATTGTCATTTTAAGCGAAAAACAAGCGCTAGTTAAGCAGAAAAGGAAACGATAAGAAAATCTGTTGCTAAGAAACAGCTCGCACACTTTGAGTAGACTGATGTTATGTAGTTACTGAAGGACTGCCTGCAGTCTGCCTTTTTGTGACGTACAGGGCAGCGATTCTTTGATAAAGATGGACAGAAAACAATGTGCATGTCATCTAAAGTTAATAAAGTTTTGTTTCCTTTGAAAGAAGCAGGTGTATTGGGTCCAATAATACATCTTTTTCTGTGGATTTTTCCAATGTGTGAGCAATAAGGAAATAGCCGGCACATAACTAGTGATGAAAATATGTCTCTATGGATGAATCTGCCCTGTCAGACAATTTTTTAGTACTTAGACAACGCGCAATGTAGGAAAAGTTAGACAGGAAATAATACTCTGTAAAATAGAAGACTTCGAGCGACCACCAAAGATAAAAATGATCGGGAAAGAAAAATGGTCGCGGGAAAACTAATGAGGCTGCAACTAAAGCATTTAATTAACGCGGGAATCTTTCGGCGGCTCAGTAGGCTCCCTCAAAGAGAACTTTGGGGAGCGTTGCGTGACATCCAAAAAACGGCTGCGAGCGAGACTAAGTAGAGAGCCGATTCGCTGCTTAATCTTCCTTTATTGACCAAAAACATTTACTAACCCCCTGCACCTGCAAACCCCCGGCGCTCAGGGGGCGGGGGGGGTAAGGGGGCGCAGCTCTCTTACCCCTGATGAAAATAAGGGACTATTATAGTCTAGGAGTTATAAGAGACGCTATATAAACCACTTCGTTATATAACAGAACACCAATGACACCAATATTAACCGAGTTTATTTACTTCAGTTTTCGGTAAAATACGTGTACAAAATATAGGCGAATTTCATATCAGTTCTTCCAGTATTTACCTAAACCACGTCAGTTCAGTATTGCATTTCAATCAGAGTCAAGTGGAAAAGTAGGCCAGTGGTAAACAAAACTCAAGCTTCGTTTTTCTTTGGTTTTGTTTTTTAGCTTCGGTGCCAAACACAAAAACCCGACCAATGTAGCAAAAGCTCGCAAACAACCCAAAACCTCAAATTGATGTTATTTCTTTGCACTGAGCTTCATTACGTTGTCTTAAAACACAGGTTATTCAGGACACCTAAACTCTAAAAGATCTCGGTGTGGGACTACCCTTTAAAAATGACGGCCTGAGCCGAGCTGCCTGTCGGCCGGACAATTCCGAAGACATCCTTAAAACGTAATTAACATCAATCACTTTCTACTCATCCGATTTTTTGAGAGACCTCTCAAGATCAAATTGTCCAATAATTTAAGGTTTACAGTTTTTATCCCCATAAAAGGAACAATGAGTAACCCCCTTTATTTTTATGTAACTCCTTCCCCCTGTTTTGGGATTTAATAACCCAGGAATGAGCCCGGTGGAACACTCCCTATGATGGCCTATACGGGGAGGCTCCGCCCGAAAGGGGTACCTTTTTTAGGCTTCAAGTATATGAAAGGGTACAGAAATCTGTCATTTCGGTCTGTAAAAAGGCCAAAAAGGGCTCACAGATGCATTGTATCTTATGGCTATGAAAAGGTCGAGCAAACGTTTTAGTTTTGTGATTTATTCGTATTTTAAAGACTGCATTCACGGCAGTGAAAAGGGATGCAAAGTTCTAAACTAGGTATGAGAAAGGGGTACCGTTTTTCGAGAGAGTAGAGGGTATACGAAAGAGGTACCTTTTCTGTCCAAAAAATGGTATTTGAAAGGGTAAGAGGTTGGACTTCGGGGCGAAGCCTCCCAGTATAAAACTTTGTTGAGTACCCCCCCGGAGGAAGGAGATCCGTACAACAATCCCCCTTTTGTTATACTTAGCTCTACCTACAAGTTAATCTTAATTTTTGTTACTTTACGACTCCCTGACAGGATAAAACACATAGGAGGACGTTTGTTCTATAGAGTAGAACATTCCTCTATCTTCTAATCTTCGAGAAACCTATACTTTACAAGGCCAACGGCTAGAGTCAAAGCTTTGCTTGAGCTGGGAGGTTCTCTCCTGTTAATCCCGCAAGGAGATTTTTCGCGGCAAGAACAGCCATAGCCTCCCTTGTGGATTCCTCTGCACTGCCAATGTGGGGAAGCACAACTGAAAGATCAAACACGGAAAGAATGGTGACACTGTTGGGCTCTAATGGATGGATGTTTCGTACATAGCTGCGATAATCATTTAGCAATTATTATATGAGGTTCAGTATGATCTCAATGATCTCAACAACTCTGCAGATCTCGGATGATCCGCCTCGGCCCCTTCTCGATCTGCGGCATACTTCTTTAGATGATTGCTAATTTTTTTGCCGGGGTAGTGGCTGCTGTCGCCGTAATAGCGAACTGTCCGCATGACGAGAGTTGCCTGTAATAGAGACCTACTGTTTCCGTCTTCATGAGATCGGACTACTGATCCTGGGGAATTGGAAGTCAAGAGCCCCATGGATCCCCTTCTTTAAATAAAGGGGGCAAAGTTTGAAGACAGAGAGGCAGAAATAATCTGAAATGAACGGGAATGAAGAGTTCTTACCACAGTTCTTAAGGGTGAGCAGTGGATGATCCAAAGGAAGAGGTTCAGGAACTGTAACATCCAAACCAGCACCCTGGAAAAAGAAGCCAAGTTACCAGCAAGTTACCAGGGTCCCAACAGACAAAATTGTTTGTTACTAAATGACGACAAACTCACAGAGCCTCTATACAGTCGGTCATCAGACTATGTTCGACTAAAATTTTTTCAATTAAAATTTGATCGAAATCAAATGATACACTCTTTCCACGTACGAATGTTGTTTATCCGACCCAGGCTGAATATTCTTATTTTTCTGCCGTTTTCAGGCTGAAAATATTCTTACGGCTCTTGGCGGTTTTGTTCATTTCTTTTGTGCTATATTTACGGTACAAATCCTGTCAGTCATGTACCGTTCATCAAACTGTCATTAGCATCGAACATTTGATTATGGCAAGCGCAGAATTTTTTCAATTTTTTTTTCTACGTTTGCCGTTTAGAGAAAGCAATAATTCACATACAGTTATTGTATCTTATCAATATCAATCAATCTCAGCCTTGGGTTTATTCTTCAAATATTCTTAAAATTTCACTAATTTCAGCCTCGATATTCTTAAAAAACATCTTCTTAAAAAAAGAAAACAGTGTATTAAGGATAAGCAACCAGGATGGTGACGGCAAAGGAGACGCCATTTATAAAGAGCATTCTCGTTCTTCTAAAATTTAGGGCTGTTATTTTAACAGGCTCAATTGTTCAATTGTAAGCGAGTTTTCCTGGAGTTGGATTAAAAGGGAGCGAATCAAAGTTTAAAAAGAGAAAGAAAAATGTGTCGTCGAGTGTTAAAATGCTCTATGATACGTCACAAGGCAATGTTTCCCGTCAAAGTTTTGCATGGAAGATGTACCTGTTGCCTTTGCCTTTCTCAGTGGTTGCTTCAAACTCCCTATTCAATGCCTCGGCGCACGTCAAGTTGGTTATATTTTTTTGCAACTCAGGCCTTATTCAAACGGATCCAGGATGTTGTGACAACTTCATCTAACTTTGTTCGATGCCTTATCGGAATGGTGTTGGCCTCACTTCATCCAACAATCTTCGATCCATTACACCACCTTGTTGCGTGGTGCTGAATGTTGTTGGATAACGGTTGGAATGTCGAACATCATCCACCCTCTCATAAAAAAACTGAACCGTTTTCCAAATTCTAATTCTATATAGAAAATGTCTCTCTCCAAAATAACGTTAGTTAGTTAGTTTTTTATGCGATCGAACATCTTAAAAGTGCCCGTCATGCCCATTATTTACTACATGTAGTTACAAAAAAACGTACCCATATTTGGCCCGTCTTCAGTGCTTCATACAAATCATCCTGGTTCACCACTCCTCCTCTAAAACAAAACAATAAATTTACTCATTTATTCAAGACCAACAAATGATGCTATGGTATTCGTCCTCGGAGTGACCGTTATCTCAAATGCCAAGACGTCATGAATTATTTTAGTCTGCAAGCAAGCTTTATATTTGGGTGATGTCGTGGAAAGTCACGCGCGAGCTACACGCAAAAGGAGATGATATCCACTCGAAATAGAGAGCTTACTCGCGGGGAAAATTACCTTTAATCAACCTTTATCTATAACCATTATCTACTGAATTAACAACGGAAAAAATAAGACCTCTCTTACCTGCTGGTGTTCACGAAAACCGCATTGCTTTTCATCTTTGAGAATGCACCTTTGTTAAACATACCTGTGTGCAGGAAAAAAAAGATGTATAAACGGTTACATGTCCCAGATGAGATGACAAACTCATCATAATTGCTTTAGAAATACCGGTGAGTACCTGATTTTCTTCCAAATGGAAAAGTACCAAGTCCTCTATCTGGAGTGTCGCTCAATTGGGGACATTCCAATTTTTAATCCGCACTCCCCCCCACCGGCCCGCAAGAAATGCATGTTACTGAGAAGCCATTTTCTGACAGCCCCGTATGCAAGAAAAAACTTCCGAAAGGATTTTTTGCCCCAGTTTACCATTTTTACATAGACCATAAGCAAGTTGTTTACCCTCCAATATTTTGCATAACCAATGTTTCCAAATTCGCCTGGTTACTACGGTCGTCTCAAGAGAAATTGAACACAATGGTTATACAAAATTTTGAGGGTTAAACAAGGTGCATTATGGTCTATGTGAAGGTGCATTATTGTCTATTGTCTATGTGAAAATGATGAATTCAGATTGCCACACCCTTATAAGGAAATGAATCAGGGATTGCGACAGCCACCATAAAAAAATCCAATTCCATCAATTTCCTATATTTGAGCCGAACTTCAAAACATTGATAATGTCCACTGACACTTTTCTAAACACGCCTCTCATAAGGGGACGGGGCCCCGCACTGATGATAACACCTATTGCTTGACATTCACAGCTGGACTTGTGGGTTTCAATGGTGTTGTTGAACATCCAACTTTACCTGCTGTTTCTTGTGTAAGAGCAGTGTGGGCAGTCACAAAGTCAGCCTCCTTAAACAATGTCTCCATATCCACTGCAATATTTAGAAAAGAATACTCTCATAAGCTTAGCTGACAAAATGACACATATTTTAAAATTTATTATCAGCATAATGACATTAAAATTTTCTAGGGATTTAGTTGTTTAACACCCATTTCTTCTCATGGTATAAAATATCAGACAGGAAAACTGTTAGGTTATGTTTTAGGTAAGATTCTCTGGTTGAAAATGTTAAACTAAAAGTTACCGAGAACAATGAAGGTACTTAGTGTGATGTTCATTGGAAACCATACAATTTAAGCTTATGATGTCAGTTGTCACTAAGTCAATCAAAACTTATGCTGACAAATCAGAATTGGATTCTAATGCTGATATCTTTCTGGCGATACAATAACTGCCTTCTAATGATAATATCCTAAGAGGATGATGCAAAACAAATCATCTGTATATGCAGTATGACAATATATTGACAAACAATAAAAATCTCACCATGTTCGGCTTTGGGTGTGACCATCTTTTCAACTAATTAAGACAAAATAAAATTTAAAACGTCATTAGACTTTCAGTCAGTGGAAACTTGAGCTTCAGTCATTGAATTGTTACAGCTTGTCCATGTTAAATAGAATGGGAGGTGTTGAATGGTGCATGTCACTCCAACCATACAAAGCTCTCTTAAATTTCAGTAAGCTATGTCTTTGCATTCCATGTTTTGGTGTTGGCCACAAGCCAACAGATCTTTTCCAAGGTACACTTCAGGCAAAACACTCAAATTTAAAAAATGCACTTACGTTTGAATTCTTATAATTTCTTAATTCAATTGACTTAATACACATTTGTACCCAGCCCCCTGCTCAATTAAAAAATGGCTTATTGAGTGATGGCAAAAGTGTAACTCCAAGACAATCTGGGAATTCTGTATTGCCATGCCGTGGAGTCTGGTACTGGATTCTTAACAGGTACTGGATTCCAGAGTTGGAACTTGGATTATCCAAAGGATTTTTCATTCCTTGAGCTGAATGCCAGATTCCAAAGCCCAAGATCCCCCATTCCAGAAGCAAAAATTTCCAAGATGGTGAAATCTGGATCACCTTACAATAAAAACTGGCTAGAAGGGGTAACATGATCAGCTTGTCAGTGATTAAACCTACCTTCCTCAAGGAACTGTAAAACAAACCTGAAATACCCCATGGGATGGGTAAAGAGGTACTTAAATGAAACGAAAAATTAAATGAAACCAAAAAATGTATCCACAGGGGAGGGAAGGGTATTTCACTTAAAATCAGAGACTATTGACACTGCTGCATTATAATTGGAGATTGGCTCACCATTTTCTGGCTTCTTTTCGACGTCAGCATACAAAAATCTTGCAACACCAAATGGAGCAAGTCTTTGTGCCACTGCAACACCTGAAGGATATGATGAATTACAGCTACTAATAACCAAATAAATAACAATTAAATAAATAAAATAATGATTTTGATGGTACCAAATAAACATAAAGAGTCTGTGGCTCTTTGTATCTACCAGTTCCCTGGTGTCATTGGATTTTGGAATTGTTGGTTTTCAAGAAAGGGAAAATGGGTGTGGGTAAAGAAAAAAAACCTCTTGAAGAAAGGAAGAGAACCAACAACAGAATCAACTCAAACATCACATTGTCTCTGCGATTCAAAATATGAAGCCATTTTGGTGGGAGTGAGTGCTTCCACCACTACACTACTCTTGCTTGTTCCCCACGGCATACATGTAAGTAAATACCCAGTATATGACAAAGTGCTTAACAACAAGTAAAGGACTTAGGTATTAATTTACAAATACACAATAGCCTGCTCTCCAGTGGGCTTGATTAGCTTAATGCATGGAGCATTGCATTCAATCATCACAAACATCAGGGTAACGATACTGGGTCAAGCCTAATTTTTTTCAGGTTCTTTTTGAACCACTTAGGTTGTTTATTCAACTGCTAGGATCATTTCCACTTCCATGTCCACTTCTCGCTTGGTTTCTCTTAGAAATATGACGCATTTTGACAAGAGAGTCTAGTAGACAATTAGAAATGACTTAGGGCTTTTACAGGCTCTCTGAATTAAACAGGAAGTATGTTAACAAAAAATACCAACCAATTCTTCCAAATCCAACGATTCCAACAGTGCTACCCATCAATGTTGGCCCGCACATCCATAGTGGCTTCCAAGTGCCCCACCCACCACTGTAAACACACAAGCAGAAAATAAAAATACTGGGTTAAAAAAGAACAAATAACATCTTATAATGCATAATGTAGTGATGAAGCTGTATGGCCTTGAGTAACTTGCAAAAGCAGAAACTGTTTTCTCACGGTCGGTTTTCACTTGCTGAAGAATAGCACAGAACCTACAGTACATTAATAGCATGACAGCTTTGTAACAATTATCCATACCAAATTTGTCAACAAACTAGTGTCGCAGACAAGGAAGAGGATTTTGTACAGGATTTAACAACTTACTTTTTCACTTCTGCAGCTGCTTCAATCAATCGTCGCTGAGTAGCCAAAAGTAAGGCCACTGTCAGGGTGGCCTACAACAAAATACATAATTGTTAATATTATAACTATTTTACAAATATTTTAGCAAACAAATTGATAAATTTTATAATCTGCACTGTAAGGAAAAATTCAAAAGAATTTACTTAAATTAAGAATGGTTTTCCTAACTTCTAATCCAAAACTGTAATGACCTTTAAATACTAGAAAGAGATTCTTTCTACCCTACATGTACATGCAGGCATTTTTGAGGAAACAGTGGGGCACTAAGAATTCAAGCAGGTTGTGGTGCAGAAGACACAGGAGACAAGAAAGGGGCCAGGGATACATGAGTGGTTCACTACTACGGCTAAGTTACAAGAACAGCAGTGGTATGACAGAATGGGGGCAATTGTGTTTTCTGGCATCTGCATCCACATCCATCTGATTAAGTGGTGGTTATGTTATGGGTAAACATCTGATCTCAGGTTAAATCAGAACAATTATTCAATCTAGGTTAAATGTGTTACCACAATTCTACCTACAATTGCCAACAAGATTGATGAGATGTTGTCTTCAAATGGGGTAACTTCAGAGAACATTTCTGCACCCCTCCCCTCTGACCTCCATTCTAATTGTAAGTTCCAGGGTGTTTGTTGTTTTCAACAGGTAGCAGCCTCGAACAGTGGCACAACACTGCATGGAGGGGATGGGGAAAGAAAAGCCTTATTTTTCCTTTTTTAACTTGGCAAAACATTTGAAAAGCCCTCAGGGCAAAGTGTCTCAACTAATTTTGTCACCAGTTTTAGGTTAATCTACAGCTGTAAGTTAAAGTTGTAAGTAAATGACTGCATAATCAAATTGTACCTAGTAGTACATTAATTGTACAGAGAACATTAATTTTAATTAAGGTTAAATTTTTAATTTTTGTGTGTTTTGAGACAGTTAGTTTTATGTTTGGGTTACTAATGTTTTTAAAACAAGACATTTAAATTGACTTACAGTTGCATCTGTTAGCACTCCTGGAGTATGACCCACAGGAATCCCTCTACACAATCAAACATCAAAATAATTATGCAAATGAAAATTACTCAGAGAACATTGATGGCAGTGTATGTCTATAAATTAAAAGAGAAATTCATTTTGACCATTATATTTATTTATGATGGTTGTATCAGAGAATGACAATGGCAGTTTATGTCTATAAATTAAAAGAGAAATTCATTTTGACCATTACATTTATCTATGATGGTTGTTAATTGACTGTAATTGCCTAATGAAAGTACTAAATACAGTCGGGGGGGACTGAGAAACAATTACAGTAAAAGCTAGTGGTCAGGCCACTCTTTGATCAGGGTCAGCCAGGGGGGTAGTAGTATACCAGTATACCCGAAAAAAATTTGCCAAAATACCCAAAAATACCCAAAATTCATCCAAATATACCCAAAATTCTCCCCAGGTATACTTTACACCTGAAATTCAAAGAAAGTGATATACCGAATACCCGTATTTAAGCTGCAATATACCGTATACCCAATTTAAAAAGCCCCTGTATACCGTATACCCAAAAACCCTGGCCGACCCTGTTTGATAATTCTAGAAATCTAGTTAACAATCCATATCATTGAACCACGAACTCTCCATTTGCTTGCAACAAACAATATTATTTGTGCTGATGTTCTACCTTTTTGCAGCTTCTGGCAAACTGACATGATCAAACCCTACTGACATTGTGCTCACGACCTTGAGCTGTGGACCTGCGTAATGTGTAAATAAAAAATTTATGTAACATAGATTTATTCAAACTCAGATCAAAGTTAAATGATGTATAGAGTGCCCCTTGTTTCTCTTCAAAGTAAAGAAAAAAGATTGAGATAAAGAGTGTCTGATGTGGTGAACTTGAAAAATGTGGATCACAGCTCGGATGGGGACAGTTCTCAAAGTAGGAGATGAAATTGGTCAAAAATTTTTAATGGAAAATACACGCAAACAACCTGAACGAGTGTTTACATAATTTCTTAGCTTATAAAAAATCCCTTTATCATTCATTTGATGGTGCTAATAAACTAATAAAGAGTGTCTGATGTCAAAAAAAGCTTTGCACGAAAGTCTACATTTGTTAATCGCAATTATTTTTGAATGGATGACTTCATTTGGGTGTAGAATGGTGCAAATAAACCTTGTCGTTAAAAAACGTGGGTCTCAGAGGTCTCGGAGGGGTCAAATACAAAACTGATTTTGGCCCAATCTCAAAATCTTTGAAGCATTTTTGATGGGTCTCAAAAGTCTCGTTTTCAGGTGATTTTTCCACCTTGGAGTCTCAAATTTGAATTTGAAAAATGCTGGGTCTCAGAGTCTCATATTTGTGTTTTTTTCTTCCCGTTTGGTCTCCAGGAGTCGAATTTTTAGAGTTCATGAGTACAGCTTATCAAACTGAGCAAGTATTACAGATTAATACAAAAAAAAAATAAGACATAACAAAGCAAATAATATAGAAAAAACAACACTGAACCATCATTTTTTTGAACTCAATTGATGTGCAAAACGTTCTGGCTTCTTAAAAAGATGGCAAAGAATGTGTCACAACCCCACTAATGATGTTTTCACCAAGGCTCTTCCACGAAAAAAAGGCTCATCAATGGATTAGCTGGCATGAACCTTTTTGATAAGAGTGCTTCACCAGTTTATGAAGAATTTGTCCAAGGATTTCTACGTTATAGTTTTAAACAACACATGAAGAACAGCCATGGTGTGTATTGAACACTAACCAGCAGCATCAAGTAACTCGGCATCAATCTTCTCCGTAAGGAGGCAGTAAAGTCCATCCACACCAGACACTCGGTTTAGAAGTTCACCTCTGGGAATAGGGTCATCTGAGTCCCAATGATCCAAATCACAGCTTTTAATAATGAATGAATAGTTTAAATATTAACTTGGAGAATAGGATGTACTGAAGAGTACTGGAAAGTTTTAAGTGTTGAAATAATTTAATAAATGCTTGCCCTTAAATAACTGAAGATCTGGTCTTTGTCTTTCAAATACAGCCGAACCTCCAATAACAGCTACCACATACAACGGCCGGTTTCTTCAGCAACTGAAGAATGTCAAGAATGGTCATGAAATTTGATCGATATGGTGTGCTGATGATTAATCGCAGCAACTGTATTTTGATTGTGTTCCATTTATACTGCTTCAGTATAAGCAAAAATTGTCTTTGATGCTTATAGCGAATGTTGCCATGAACTTAACACAATAAACATGTTGTACTCTCTAAAAAATTTGTCATATTACACCCCTACCTCGCCATAACGGCCACCTCTCCACAACTGCCACTTTCTTCTGTCCGCAAGGAGGCCATTGTGGAGAGCTTCGACTATAAATTTAAGGCTCTAACCAGGCACGGACCCATACTGGTTCCACCGTTTTTCAGAAATCGGACAGATTTTTTGTAATAAATATATTTTTAGTGAAAAACTTTCAGTTTTCCAAGTTGAAATCTGGAAACGGTTTGGACAGTCAGTAAATATCCTGTCTGAATGACTCAGAAACCCAAGAAAGAGGACTTTGGGGAGTTAAAATCATGTTTGCATGATAAACAGCATTTCACACAAAAGGAAAGATAAGTGTGAGTTCTAGGGTTAGCCTGCTACCTTCCCCTACCGCTCTAGTAACTCTCAGTCTCCATGTAAACAGATACATCCTTAATTAGTTTACCTCTCTTCAGTGAAAAAAATAAACAAACATATAACTAAACAAAAGCTTCTAGCGTACTCGTGCAATTCCAGTGAGCTTTAAAAGACTATAAAGTACAACATTCGTCGAGTCTGTGTTTTAATACTGACAAGTAAAAGGGGAGTAAGGTCTTACCATTAATTAATTTAATTAACAAAAGAATAGACAAATGACTACTGTACGTGCTGTTTTCCTCGAACCGCAAATAGTGTAATTTTAACATATTCAAAAAGTCTGTCTTAAGGAGCCACCGAAAAAGCACAAAGATACCTCATTCAAAAACTTCTCACCTTTTAGAATCCTTGAGAATTTCTATGGCAGCTTGTGGTACTCTTCGTGTGACGAGAATCTTGTGTCTTCGTTCGCTTGCCATGTTCCGCGCGAGAGTAGAGTTTACAACACGTCTGCTGACAAAACCACGGCACAGCCGAGCAAAAGGAGCGTAAGACATAGCAAATCAACCACAGAGAAATAAAACGACTGTAAAAAACTTCTGGTGGCAGACGGGACGCGATCAAACGTGAAACAAGTCAGTATACCCACCCGAAAAGATGATCTGATATCTGAAGAAAGAGCCAGGCGTTTCTTCTTAGCCGGGTAACCTGGACACTAGGTTCTTTGGGGCGTACCTTTGGGCGTGCAAAGGGGTGTCGCCTTTGGACCTTATTTGAGCGTGTCTCAGAAAATTTTTGCCCGATTTCGAAAGTGAGGTCTCGAAGTCTCGTTTTCGGGTGATTTTGCGTCTTGGAGTCTCGCAAATTCTCGAATTTGCCATTCTATACCCCCACCAATGTTGCCCATAAAATGTCAAATAAGCCATTTTCGAGTTGCCCCGGGCGAGGCCCGAGTGCAAAGCTTTTTAGTCTCATTTTGAAGGTAAGACGTTTTAGAACTCGGAAATGGCGGCAAAAGACTAATTTTAGCATTTTTCATCAAAAGAGGTACGTAAAGCTGCGTGTAGAATGGCGGACTGGACAGTCCTCACTAACTTCCTTTTAAACATGCAAGAGTATGGGGGTGGAGTCATTTTGAATGGCAATTATGGCAAATGAGATTCAATCAAAACAGCAAGTAGCAGACAATTTTCGCCTAGTCTGCGAATCGATTGCAGCCGCACTCTCATCTAGGCTTTGTTAGATTGTGCTCGCAAAAGTAGCATGATATGCTACTAGCCGTGCTCGTATATTTTTAACATTATGCCACTAATTATGCTAGTTTTTGTAAATTATGATCAATTTAGCAAAAAATGCAGAAATTATGCTTCTCTTTTTCACTGTAAAGTAAATTTTGCAAAACACCTGAATAACTATGCAATAGACAAGTAAATGGCAAGCACATTTAGCGGGATAAAGTTACATTTAGAAACTCTACCAGTTCACTATAAATTCCCTGGCTATTATCACTGTATGCTTCTGTTGTCACAAACGCCATCAATCGCAATCTTGGGTACATGTAACCAAGCAAGTTATGCGCACGCATTGAGTCCTGTGGAAAGAGTCCTTGGTCACTTCCAAAACTTGGTTACTAGACTGTTCACAGTCCCCTATTTTTTCGTGAGACCGTTTAGATATACCGCGTCTTCTTGATTTTCAAATGTACCGAGTGGGTGGACGTCGGGGATTATCCGCCCCCTGCTCCCTAAGTAGTTTTGACACTCATGGAAGATGGCAGCCCGTAACGCAAAGCGCTCGATCTCGGTGATCTTACGGAAAAATAGAGGACTGTGAACAGTCTACTTGGTTACATGATCAATGATAATATTTTGTGCTGAGAAACTAGTCAAAAGTGCAAATTATGTTAGCAATGTTTTTTTTCGGGAAAGAGATGAATATTATATGCTCGTAATGACAAATTATGCCAAAAATTACCCTGGCACAATCTATCAACGCCTACTTTCATCCCCAGCCCCCGCAACCTCTTCCAAATAAGCAAAAATTGAGCGCTTTTTAAGACCAAAGTCGTTTTATACACATATCAAACTACGAAAAACAACGGAAAAAATTTGGTGTCATATGCACTTTAAAAATGGGAACCCATTTCGTCAAATGTCAAATGCGACTGGAAGCCATGTGAGACAGAAGTTTCGAAGTTTCGCCATGCCTCGCAGATTTTTTTTTACTATTACGCAAAATAGAGCCTAGACTCAGGTTTCCACATTTTCGGCGCGTTCTCCTCAGTAAACGTTTAAGAGTTGGGAGGGGTGGAAGGGGGGGGGGTGCAGCGTATAAAAGTCTAGGTAAAATTGCCAACAGGCTTAGAAGCGTTTCCAATCCCTTCCATCTCTTTATCTGAATGAACAAACGCCAGAGGAAAGGAAGGGTCGGCGTGGAATAACGAGGCTGACTAAAGAGCAGAGGCGATCCCCGATTTTCGTCCAGACTTCTCTTGAAGTACCTCGTTCCAAAGAGCGCTTGGAGCGAGTCCACGACAGGACATACAAGAGTTGACTGGACATGAGGTATAATTGCAACTAGATACATCAGTCTTATAAGACACCGCGCAATACAAAAAAATGGAAACCTTTCTTTTCCTCGCTGGGTCTTGTCTCCTAACTCCAAAAACATAAATTAGTGCACCTACTATGAGTATTTATATTACTTTCACCACAAAGAAAGAAAAAAAAAATGTTAAAATTAATTATAGATTATACTAAGTACAGTAATATATGGAATTACCATTGCTGTAACGTATTTTAATATTTGTAAGTATATTGCCATGTAAGTGTGTAAATTCGCTATTTGTTTTTTTTTTTTTGTTACTTTATTTGTTACTTTTTTTTATTATTATTACTTTATTTATTTTGTTTAATTTTTATTTTTTTTTTGTGTGTGTATTACTTGCAATAAAAATAAAAATAAAAAAAAAAAAAACTAGATACATCAGTCAGGAATGTACACACAGCATAGTCCTCTTTTTTAGTTATCTCTATTATTATTATTATTATTATTATTATTATTATTATTATTATTCAGAGGCGTAGCCAACAATTTTTCCAGAGGTACGCACAGTTTTCCAAATCCCCTTGCAGCTTCCCCCTCTCCCACGCACACACACGTACCTTGTCCGTTGTTTTAGAAAAAAAACATATTCCAAAGAAGAACTATAGTTAAATTTGTCAAATTTGCCTTTACATGTAAACCGAATACAGAAAACATATGGTGCTAGGATTATCCGCCTTCTAGGATCTTCCTGGTAATTAACCTGAGAATCAGGCCCAATTTTAGCAGCTTCCATACACTCGCTCTTACGTGGTCTCGCTGAATATTATTTAATGAGACGAAAATAGAGCTTGATCTCAGGTTACCTGGTACTATAATCTTCCTCCCTCCATGTAAGACTCAATTGATTTCATGCCAAAAACGTGGTCAATCGTATTCCATAAAGATAGTCCGCAAAATTAAAAGAAGCTATAATCGGATCTTCCATAATCACGAGTTTTTAACGGAAACAGGGGCACCCAACGAGAATATAGTTCAAAACCACTTAAACATAGCATTGTCAAACGTATTTTAGTATTTAAACGCTAAATATGGGCATATTTTTATCCCCTAAAAATTTTTCATCTCTTCGGATTTCCTAGCTGAAAGTCTAGTGATCAGAAAATTATAGGAATCAAAACTTACCTTTTCGAAAATTTCAGCCCAAAAAAAGGCTCCCGAAAATTCTAGGTGACCTTTTAAAAATCCGTTAAAAATGGGCAATTATAGTTATTTTTAGATGTTCGAAAATCCTAGGAGAGGCAGGCAAGCAAAAAGTTTACAACAAATGTTCCGAAAATTCTAGATCTCAAATCGTCTTCCGAACAGATATTTTCCGAAAATTGTCGTTGGGTGCTCCTGACAGAAAGACCACATAATCCTAGCAGCGAATTAATGCCTGTAAAAAAGGGGACCCCAATACAAGGTATCTACTCGAAAAACCAAAATGGCATCCCGCAACAGATTTTCCAAGTGAATCATAACAAGCCAAGAGAGAACAAGATTATTCTCCGTTTAACGTGCCAATTTTGCATGCCCATCACCGTGACAGACATGCTTGCATGTATGAAAATACAACGTATGTACGTGTATGTGACTATAGATAGTATGATCAGATTCCATATCAATAGATTCAGTCATAGATTATATCTGTGTTCTTTTAAGTTTCTTAGTTTAGCCAGTCGCTTGAATTTGCCGCCCCTTGAAAACATAAGTTTAAGATTTATTTCTTCAAGAGACTGAAAACGTCAACGTTTCACGCCCTGTTCACTTTTTTGCGCCGTCCCCGGTATCTGAACGCCTTGAACAGGCTCCTTTTCTATACTTCTACAAGTAAAATCCCTACCCTTTCAAATACTTGAATCCTGAAAAAGGTAAAACAAAAGAAGCAAGGCTGATTTCAGGCTGATTTTACAGTCGGGAATATATATATATTTGGGAAGGTTCGGCCTTCCTTCTTTAGGGTCTTACATAAGATGAAAAGGTTAAGCTAAGACGTTATGATTTGAAAATAATATTTTCAAATTTTAACGTCTTAGGCTAACCTCATCATTATATGTAAGACCCTGAAGAAGGAAGGCTGTGCCTTCCGAAATATATACGCGGGGGCGGGGGCCTTACAAAGCGCCAAAAGCGAGAGCGCTCATGAGAGCCTTATGACGACCTATGTGACGAGCCATCAATCAGCAGATCAGGAAGCGATAAGGTGACGTGACCATTAAGCCCAGAGCCTATCGGATTTCAAAGTAACAGAGAGGTAGGATTGTAGACTCATCACCCCTGAAAAGAAAACTGGTCAAAACGTTTGACAAGTTCAGCTGATAGAATACTGTGACTTGGCCCTGATGAGAGTACAGGTAAATAGTGTTGATAAGTCGATCCAGCGAGGAATTTCCCTCCTGGAGAGACCAGACCAAATATGTTTTGTTATGAGCTTTTGTTTCAATCATGTTCGACTCATCTCATCTCCGAGCCCCAGTGAACTGTCTATATAATTGGGCTTTGTAAACTTTTTCCAAATACACTTGCTTAACTAGAAACGACAAAGGAGATGCTTAGAATCCCTACACGGACTTAATTGATCGATTAAGTATTATAGTCATCATTATCAATTGGGTTGATAATGATTCGTTTGTTTTTGCCCCTGGACTAGCGGTCCTTCAGAGGAAGTTGTATGTTTGTGGATACATAAATTTCTTGTAATTTAACCTCGTCTACTCTCGTCTTGATGCGGTATATCAACTCGGTTGTATTTAATACGACGATGAAAGGCTTTGTCCTCGGTACAAATAAATTAACATCCTAACAGACAACATGTGGATTACTTACATCTGCAAACAACGCCTGAAGAGTCAACAATTGCATGATCATACGTACCCTCTTTCGCTGTATGCCACTTTTTATTTTTTCCCGTGAAATGTGACAAATATTTTCAGTCATTGTTTGGATGAAGGGCCCAGGGGGAACTCTTTTA